ATGGATTTTACCATTGGAGTAAAGAGCTACAGAGTCGGCGTCAACGCCAATTGGCCGATTTGAAGTGCGTAAGATAGAGATAGATATAGATAGAGATAGAGATAAAAGAGTAAGAAGCCAGTTGTCTCCTCTTCCTCTTAGACCTAAAGCAGATCGAAGCAATCTATAAGTTTTCTTTGTAACTTTATTCTCAATTAAATCGTTCACAACTAACGACGTGTTTCCTTCAAGGTTCCCTAAATTACCATCAACTTATAGGCCCATAGACGATTAGAAAAACTGAAGATCTGAAGATGAACGAGTTGCGAACGGTGTCGGCGTAGGAATGTTCCAAGGCGTAAACGAAGAAGGCAAACCTACGAACATCAAGCTGACGCAAGTGTTCCATGTTCCGGTATTGGATGGAAATCTCTTATCCGTTATCCAACATCACTGATGAAGGTTTCTGCACAGACAACTAGACATAACACTCGCAAGTTGTACATCGAAAAAGCATTTAACCAGACCCCCTTCACTCTTTGGATTTTTTTAGAGACAGATAACAGCGCCAAACGGTTTGTGACGTGACAACGTTGAACTACAGCTTTGGAAGAAAACACGCACACCAACATCTATACATTTACGAACCCACACAACTGAGCGGACGGTACAGCGCAAATCAAAACACGAACCGGTGTCATCACTCATCGTCTTCATTCAGCTTCCGCTACTTCCGTTTGCGTTTGCTTTCACCGGCGTTGACAAATACTTCCTACGTTATAAAATAGGAAAATAATGATTATTCCAATGTAATTTTTGAATAGAATTCGTGCTGCGTTGGCCAAAGAAGACGACATATGTTATTACGTTTAGCAATGATTTCGATAATTTCCAGTGACTGGGGTGTTGGAATAATTCTTTAGAGAGAGTGAATGCTTTTCCCGTGTTTACTTCTATGCTTATTAAGATTCTTTTGAGCACCAGCTCCGCAAATAATGAATTACTATTAGAGATTTGCATCTTACTGATACCGGTGGTATATTGGAAACTCTTTCGCTCAAAAGCCAAGCATATTACAAGCACATCATGATGCGCGCTTGAATGTGTGATTGTTTTCTCAAGTGTTTCTTTAGCGTATAAAGTGCTAATGATTGAACATCGGAATAATCACAAACAAGTAAGAATCTTGCTATCGCAATATTATGATGATGACTTCGAGGATGATATCGTCCTCTTTCCTCGGCTGATCATCAACGTCCGCATTGACATCTATCATGCTGACACCTGTCAGTTGTTGAGCCCAGGTGGTGAAGTTGGCGGGGAACTCCCAACAGTTTCAATGTGCACTCAACAGATGGCACTGCGATCACATACGGGTGGTAATTATATGCCTTGTATGAGGAATTGATTAGTGGGATATCTTGTTAATTAGATATCTTTGATTTAACGATCAATTTAAAAGTATCGCAGTTGGTAGTACCGCCATCTGCGGCGCGCATAGTAAATTCCTTTACGTTTGACCTTTAAACACTACTGCCATCTGTTCAGTGTACTGCCAATCACAGTGTACTCAACAGATGGCGATAATGTTTTAGCGACGATGTTTTACAGTGAGAAATATTCAATGTGTTATGTCTGTTTGTCTGTGTTTTCTGTGTGTCTTTCGAGTGATTTCTGTGTGTCTTTCGACAGGACGTCGTGTGAGATCCAAAAGGGTGGGGTGGCACACATCGTCGGCAAACGGCATGGTAAACTGTATCACCTGATAATCATCCGAAGCAATGTATTCATCTGTGGCACTGTCGGTTGGGACACCAAAGCGTCGATATAATCAAGAAAATCGTGCGTGAAGAACTAGTGGCATTTCGATACAAGACTGTGGTGTGAAAATGGTTTGCGGAACGTGCTGCTAAGGAAAAATGACCAGAACACCATTTCCAAAAGCATCAGAAAGTAGGAGCAAAGCGTTAGGAGACTTGATCCACACGGACTTAGCTGGTCCGTTCGAGGTAAGCACACCGACTGGAAATAGTTATAATATGGTGCTGGTGATTTCGATATTGCGCGCCGACGGTGGAGGTGAGTGGTTCCAGTGAAGAAGTACCTTGCGGACAACGGCATTATACTCCAGCAAACGGCACCGTATAGTCCTCAACAGAATGGAACCGCCGAAAGAAATTGAAGCAGATTTGGAGAAGCAATTTTGGCGAGAAGCAATAACAACGGCAACCTACCTGCAAAATATTTTACCAACAACGGCCGCAAGTAAAACCCCTAAGGAGTTATGGCATGCAAGCCTTCGTATACCAACCTGCGTGTATTTGGATCACCAGCAAGGGTATACATTCCAAGCCGGAAGCGGAAAAAGCTGAAAACTGATTTTGGTGGGCTACGCTGAGGGACGCAAAGCCTACCGTCTCCTGACTCCGGAAACCTGCAGTATCACCATCAGTAGGGATGTCAAGTTCGAAGAAGCAACAAAGTATGATAGCAGTACCACGACCAAAGCTGCATATCAAACTGAATGGGTCAGTGGTAGAACCAAATACCAATGGCAAAACGTACGACGATGATGTTAATAGTGTAAGGTCAGGTGAGTGAAGCTGATGCCGAGCAGTTGTCAATTTCAGAAGATAGCAACGATGCTGCTAGTGTTGTCTTTGACGTCGAATGCCAACAAACTCCCAGACCGTCCCAACGGTTAACCAAAGGTATCCCACCTATCCCAGCTAATGGAATCAAAATCATTCGACGAGGCAATGACAAATGGAATTCGGTCATGAAGAAGGAGTTGCAATCCATCGTAGCAAACGACACGTCGTCGAGGCTGGTTGCCCAGGGATTCAGTCAGCAGTACGGCACTGACTATGATCAAGTGTTTGCTCCTGTGGTGCGACAGACAACATTCCGAACTTCTTTGGCGGTTACAGCGAAGCAAGGCATGATGGTGCGACAATATGACATCAAGACAGCCTTTCTGTAAGGCACTCTTGAGGAGGAGATTTACCTCAGACAGCCTTCTGGGTTCACTGTTCGTGGGGAAGAGCACAAGGTGTTACGTCTCAAGAAAAGTTTATACGGCTGCGAGGTCTAGGAACCAGGAAACTGTATGCGGAACTACTACGGCTTGGCTTCAAGAGGTGCGATTCCGTGTCTGTATCGGAAGAAAGAAGATAACCAATGGTGCTTCATTTTGGTATACGTCGACGACCTAATCATCGCCAGCAGGAACGAGGGGCTTCCCTTAGCTCAGTCGGTAAAGGCGCAGCTACAAAGCAAGACCATGCTGGAGGTGGCTGGGTTCGATTCCCGGTCCGGTCTAGGAATTTTTCGGGTTGGAAAATTTCTCGACTTCCCTGGGCATAGAAGTATGATTGGACTTGCCACACAATCATATCAATGCAAAAATGGTACAGGCTTCGAAAGCTCTCAATTAATAACTGTGGAAGTGCATCTAGAACACTAAGTTGAGAGCACGCAATAAGCTAATATGCGATATGCAATAAGCTTGAAATGCGAAGAAGAAGAAGAAGAAGAAGAAGAAGAAGGAACGAGTGTATCATTGAGCGAACGACGAAGGACTACAGAAAAAAAAACTTCAACATGTCTTCGATGGGCGACATACACTGGGTACCTTGGAATCGAGGTGCAACGTGACAACAAGGGTGATTTCTTCTTGAATCAGAAGTGGTACATTGTTGAAATCGTTAAATCAAACGGGTTGGAGTATTTCAAGGTGGACCAGAGATACTTCAAGCAAGAAGATGGGAAACTGCTTCCGGACAACAATAACTACAAGAAGCTAGTTGGTCAGTTATACAAGACCGGACATATCGGCAGCTGTTTCCATACTCAGTAGGAAAACGAGCTGCCATACACAAACCGGCCGGAACGAGCTCAAGCGATTAGCTTGCTACCTGAAAGGATCCAGGGATGGCGGCTGCCCGGCGGGTACTTCCCAAAACTGCGAGCAGCCTAGAGGTCGCAAATCGTCACCTAGAAAGAAAATCGGCTCAGTTTCTTGAAGAGTATAGTTCAGAGAATGGAATGAACTAGAATCTTTGAAAAATCTCAAAATTTGACAAAATGGCGGGCATTTGAAAAAAAGTCATTTACCTAGTTACCGCCATTTTGTCAAATTTTGAGATTTTTCAAAGATTCTAGTTCATTCCATTCTCTGAACTATACTCTTCAAGAAACTGAGCCGATTTTCTTTCTAGGTGACGATTTGCGACCTCTAGGCTGCTCGCAGTTTTGGGAAGTACCCGCCGGGCAGCCGCCATATTGGACGCCATTTTGGATTTTTGGACTTGAAAAAATTCCCAGTTGTAGAGCAAGAATGAATAAAGATTTGACAAAAAACTCAGGTCTCTAACTCTTACCAGTTCCCTGGAAAAAAAAAATCCAAAGTTTAGGTCAATTGAACCGGAAATCCCCCTTAATTACCATCAGGGAGCCTTAAAATGCGTCAACAAACAAAAAACACTGAGAACTTCGATGAATTGTTTGATCGACGTTAAAATTCTTAATGTGCATTGAATTGAAGCAGTCTTAACTTTGTTATTGTTATTTTCACAGCATTCAATTTCGCGAGTTTAGAAAGGCTTAACGCTTTCGCTAAAAAAGCATTAGGGTTCTGATTTCAGCGTGAAATGAAAAAAAAAATCAAGTTTATTTATATTAACGTTATTACGGGTGTCACTACACGGTGATAAGGAAGTGATACTCATAATAAGAGCCGTGATTGTCGTACAAATCAAATGGAAATCACTTCACCGTGACGACAAGTGACAAGTTTTCACCGTAATAAGCCCCAACACTTAATATTCCACTCAAATGCCCCTCACAAATTTTCACAACGAAATATCAACCTAAATGTGACGTCTATTTTTGACGTATGACTGCTTTTTAACTGGACTACAGCCCAGTTAGCGAACAAGTACTGTACGTCATTTATGGTTGGACCCCTATTGGATGTAACCATGAAATGCATATATCAAACAATCGACAATGGTACTTACATCCGGATCCGGTCGCTCCATGATCGATCCCAGCTCGCCTTGCTCGCCGCTGCTTCCGATCAGGTGTCCCGCCTCGGTATAGCTGCTACCCATGGTCCCATTGTTGGTTATGCCGAATCCTCCCACGTTCCCGTTGTTGTTCATTGCATTAGCCACAGCCGCATCTTCATCGTGGAACGAAACCCGTCGGTTATCCCGGTAGGCAGCCGATCCGAATGCCGGGTTGTTCGGATTGATAATGTTGTTGTTGTTGTTGTTGTTAAGACTGTTGCTGCTGGACGACGATGGGAGGTTGTTGTTCGTGGAGTTTGCTGGACCGGCAGTGGTGGTGGTCGTGAGCAGATTGTTCCCGTATCTTCCCAAAGTATTGTTGTTGTTGTTGTTGAGGAGGTTTTGTTGCTGCTGCTGCTGCGGATGCTGATCTGCGTTCGTGATTATATTGTTATTGAAGGTAAGCTTGGTGGCACTGCTGCGTATTTTCTGCTGTTGCATGATCATGTAGGAACTGTTCCGTTCCGGTGGAGGGGGTGGTGGCGCAATTCCGGTGTTGTTGTTCTGAGTGGTGGTTGCGGCGGTGGGGTCTTGAAGGTATCCGTTCATGGTGGATTGTTGGTGATCGTTGAGTTCTTCGTCGACGCGATCGGCAATGTTGAGCTGGTTCATGTCGACTGCTATCTGGGACATCAGCTGATTGGCGTTGGTGTTACTCATGGTGATTTCGGTCAGATTGAACTGCTTGTCGTGATGGGCAAAGCTGGCCGACTTGGCGGCTCCCTTCGATGGGGAGGATGGAGTGCTGCTGTTGTGTTTGAGAATACTCTTCGGTTGGATAGCAGAGCTAGCGGAAGCGACTTGCTGTTGAAAACTGGCGATGGTGTTAGCGACTGAATTCGCGGACAGGTCGTCGTTTGAAGAGGCTTCCGAGTTCTGGACCGATGGCATTTTGATGTCGACTTGCTTCATCTTGGTCAAGGGGGCAGATATGGTGTTTTGCGGTTGGGCAAGTCGTAGGACTTCGTGAACTCCGGTGGGCTCCTTCCCGTACGGGGTGGAATCGTTATCAAAGTCCTGATCTTCTTCCATTGCGCGACGTTCAAAGTCGCGTTCAAGCATGAGCGTGCGAAGCAGATCATCCTGCGGGGGAGTCCTGTGGGACAAGATTTGTAGTTCGGCAATCTGTTGATCGCGCCAACCACGGATGTGCTCCCGTCGAAGTTCGGTTTCCTTTTCCTTTTCCTCGCGTTCCCATGGGTTGCTTCCCGGAACGATCACGTTCTTGTTCTGCGTTGGCACTGCCGGTGGATAGAAGCCGACTTTTGCTGGTTCGGACGTGCTGTATGTCCCGATAGTGGAGCTGCTTGCGGGGACGGTTTTGAACATGGGATGCGTAGCTGATGGTGGAAGCGGTGGCTGATCTTGGTCGGAGGGCATTCCGGGACGGATCTGCGGCTTGGGAGCCGTCGTCGGAGGGAGCTGCTTGTGGGAGCTTATTGGAGTACTGGGATGAGGACTAGCACCGCTGTAGCCGGGATGTTGCGACTGTTGTTGCTGCTGTTGCTGCTGCTGCATGGAGGGGGATGGCATCATTGAAGAATCGACGTTCTGGGGACGCTGTTGTTGTTGTTGTTGGTGTTGCTGCTGTTGAGGTGGAGGTGCAGCTTGATTGCGTCGTTTGATAAGCTCGTTCATCTCTGCTAGCTTCGCTTGGCCACGAAGCAGCGAGGCATGCTGTTGTTGCTCGTTAGGGTAGAGCTGAGGGGACATCATGGGGCTACCGTTTTGGTAGCTGAATCCCCCACCGCTGGCGATCATGTTCACGTTCTGCATGCTCTGGCTGGCGGAAATGCCACTGGGGTGATGCGCGGCATGCTGGTGCGGTGCAGGCTGTTGCTGTTGCTGGTGCTGGAAGGAATGTGCAATGTTTGGCATCGACGGGGCCATCATCTGATTCAATCGGAGACTCTGCTGCCCTTGGGAATCGCGGACAAAGTTGTTTCCGACCATCGGCTGCTGTGGTGGCATCTTTTGCAGCCGACTTGGGCCCATGGTGTTCGAACCGGAAGTGGCTGTCACCAGATTCGGATGGGAGATGTTACCGCTTAGAGGTGGCTGTTGCTGCTGTTGGGGAGGCAGCATTCCGTACGACATCGAGCTGGTTGGTGTCGTCAGTAGTAAATTGTTCGGATTGGTACTGTTATTGCTATTAAAATAGGCAGATGCTGGACGGCTTAAAATTGGTTGCTGCTGGGCTTGTTGCTGCTGCTGCTGCTGCTGTTGGTGGCTACTACTGCCGCTGCTGATAGAAGCGCCCGGGGAGTTGAGTGATGTCTGTAGAGGCATTGGGGGTCTACAAGGGTGAAGCGATTCGGGTTAGTTAAATGTTTTGCGATTTTATTTTTTCGAGATGGGGGACCTACCTTTCTCCCAGATTGGGGTGACTCTGATTTTGCGCACGATAGACACTGAGATTTTGATAGAATCCCTGGTCTTGACTTGCTCCTCCCGCCAGGTTGTGAATGCTACGGGATTTGCTGGCCGTAGAACCTAGAAGATTTCATTTGTTTAGTTTCTGCAATCTCCATAAATCTTCCGTTACTTTTTTAAATGAACAAATTCGGGGAAATGTTTGAGCGTGGTGCAATTTCATTTGTACAATTAGTTTGCTTGAAGGTTTATGTAAAACAATAGCATGAAAAATCAAACGTGCTGGTGATGACTGTGCTTTGTTCTTAAATCTAAATTTTCGGACAAACAACAAGATGATGGAAATGCACATACACAATCGTAAACAAGATCTCATCTGCACGGACGAATATACGGAGCTCTGTCTCTTTCTCTCTCTCTGTTTCTGAAATGGGACAAACTAGTTCTCTTACCAATATTGCCAACGTGGTGCAGGGCCGGAACCGATTTGCTGTTGGGAAGTTGCTGTCCGGAGGGTGAAGGTATGGGTGGTTTAGTGGGATCGCTGGTGCCTATGCGTGTCATGTCTCGTTCGGACATTCGTCTGCCACCTGGGTGTTCCGAGTCATGTTTGTGAGTTTTTTTTTTGGAAAAAGAGATTACCATTTTGAGATTATGATGAGTCATGCCGAACAACTTCCACACCGAAGAAAATAACTTCAAGGAACAAAACGGTTGCATCGAACATCAAACTAATTAGGTTTTTGGTTTTACTTTGGATTAACGCATGCATCAACAGGGTGAACAACTTTGTCTAACTACTATGTGACTGGAAACGCTTCTAAAACTACCAACTTTTTACGGGAACACCTGTACGATCGCTACAAAAGATAACGGTGCAATCTGTTTACGAACTCCAACAATCCGGACGACGAACGAACGAAAGCATGTAACAGGAACATCTCCGTTGTGACACTATCAGTGCTGATAGCAATACTGCATTTATTGATCTAAATCTATGTCAGTGCAAGGGCGCTTTGCCAGCCGAAAGCTGTGACACGGGAATCTAAATAAATGTGAAATTGCCAAGGTTCGAACACAGACAAACAGACGTAGCACTCTGAATAAGTTTTTCTTGAAAACATTGTACCTCAATAAATAGGACCTCAGCAACGACACCTCGCGGAAAACAAGTTAGCTCGCAATTACGACAATGTTGCATGCAAGATAGACAGACGAAAATCAAAGTGATCCGATGCCAGGTGAGTAGTTTGCGATCGTTAAATGCGCGAACGATGATCCAGAATGAACCGTTACGTCTGTTTGTCTGTGATCCAAGAGTCACCTACACCGTCACCGCACATTTCGGCGGAATAGGAACGGTGATTGAGTGCCCGACTTCACAGGTGCGATTTAAGTGAATGAAGCACGCGAGTGCAGTAAGGTTCAACTTGTGACTTGTCTAACACTACAATGTATTGTTGGTTTATGACCGTGTCTGTAGCATAACAAATTGTACGGTTGGTAGAACCAGTAAATTATTTACAACTGCAGTCGACTGCTTAATTATGGTTCTACCCACTTCCAGATTGTTGCCTGTGACTACTCTCCAGTCTCCCACTGGTAGTGTTTGCAAAGTAGTATTTATATCCCCACCCACAGCCATTTCGGCTCATCTGTTCCTACTGCACCCAAAACTGCACCAAAGAAGCGTAAATCAACATGATTAAAATTCTAGGCAAACACAACTTGACAAGCGGCAAATATGCTGATCGAATTTACAAAATAACACGTGTCGGCAGCATATGTTGTGCGGTTGGCAGGAAATTGAATTGAACAAACGAACTCGCGTACTATTGCTTCGGACGGAATGGTGTCAACTTTCCGATGGCTTGGGGTCGTTTCCGCTGTCATCCGTCGCCGTCGATGTTGGTGGTGGTGAGTACTTCCGGTTGATGGATTTTAGAATTTTAATCAAACTCTGCTGCTTCTTCAGCTGACGCAGCGATGGCTTGCTCGATGAGTGACACGTTGTCGGGCTGAAGGGTCTGCTGGTTCCGAATCGGGACGGTCCTGGCGGTGCGAGATTCGGACAGCTTCGAGCCGGGTAGTAGGTTAGGCTCAGCTTGATGCGATTGTTTTCCACGTTGGTGCAATTTTTCCTACACAGTTTGACTTTTTTCAGAATGAATCCATCTGGTGGCTGATTGTTCCAGCTGTAATCGACGGCGTGATATTCGTTCAGATTGATTTCGCTTCGGGAAATGGGTGTTTTCTTCCCATCGAGCTGTTCGTACACCTGATCGAGGTATTGACACTTGCCGTAATCTTCGCTGGACAGTTTATGTAGGGAATCTTCACAGGATTGGCTGCGGTGTAAATTGCACTTGTTCAAATCATCGCTCTTCGATCCGAATTCACTCCACTGTTTCAGCTGGTTGACGATTTGCTGCTCCTCCAGCGACGACAGTTTGTCAGCCTTTTCCGAGAGATTCGGAGTAGACGAGGAGTGTTGTTTTCGTTGTGTCAAATCGCCGGATTCCACGCAGTTGTTGTTGCTATCGCGCAGCGAGTCGTAGAACTGGGTCAATGCCTTTACCTTCCCGCGTTGGACTTGGTTGGTTGGTTGCGGTGATTCCCTGGTAGGTTCCGGCGCCACGTTCCATCGTATGTTGTAGGGATTGATTTCCTGAGAGGGGGTTGCTTTTGATGGGGTAGATGGGGTATCGACGAGGGTAAAGTCTTGCTCGATGAGTTTTTTCATAAGAGCACATGCGGTAGGGATGGGCGAGTCGGTAGATCGTGGTAGTGGTCTTTTGACTGGAAAGGAGCGTAAAACGTGCAGAGAGGACAATGGTGGTTGGTTAGGTGCGTGGAATGTTTTAATTTTGAAAAAAAAAAATGAGATGCATGGAGTGATCGAGGGTTTTGATTTCGAGGGTAACGATTGTTGTTGATGGTAACTGCTGGATTACTGGTCGAGTTGGGAGATTTAAACATAAATAGCGTGTTTGATTTTGATACGATAAAATTTTACAATTCAATTGGATCCTACTATTTGAGACTGCAAGGAATTATCAAAACAAGACCGATTGTTTATGTTTTCAATGCCTAAGTTATGGCCAAGATTTGAACTGATTTGACTGATTCACATGGTAACCAGCAAATCCCGATTAATAATTTCCCAATTATTTCCCGGTCTTTTTGGAATTTCAGAAATTTTCCCTGTTGTGCAAAATACACAGCATAACACCAAATGGTATTGAGTCGAAGAAATCACTAGGTTAAATGAGCCATCACTAAGGATCTTAAATTTGGTTCTGCGATCGAATTGAAGACTTCATCTATGAAAATTCGCTCAAAACATTTTGGGATTTTATTTTATTGCCCTCAAGCAGATCCTTGAAAATCGTTTCCCACCTCAGAGTTCTTTTTAGAATTATTCTAAAATAATTTTGAGATTATTTTTGGGAGTCCTTTGAACATTTCTAATAACTGTTGAGAAATTTTCTGCAAAACACTCCAACAACTACATGACATTCGCGCTTGGATCTTAAACGAATTCACTGAAGCTTCCGTACAGTTTGTTGACGTCTGTGATTTCTATATGGCGGTACACTTTGTGAAATTCAAAAATGGAACATGTAACAGAATTATGAAAGATTTTGAACGTTAATAACTCAGCTGCCCCTGGACCAATTTCAATCATTTTATCGCCAATCGATCAGATATATTTCTACGAATCTGTTAAATTTAAGACTTAATAATTTTTCCAAATGTCACTATTGAAAATTGCACGGATGTTGCAACTGTTGCTATGATAGTTAAAAGTATCACCGATTGCCTGCGAAAAGCGATTTCCCTAACACAGATTTCAAATATGAATTCCATTCGGTCTCACCAAACGATGCTTATTCTATCACCGCGTGGTGAGTGGTGGAGTTCTCCAGTAAACAACGAAAAGCTGCCTGTAAGCAGCGAGCTGCAGCCTACATGAGCATCCATAGAAGGATGAAGAAGCCGCACCGCTTGATCGGAATCAGTAGCTTTTCGTGAGCTGCTGTGGGCCATCTATGTCATGCGCGTCATACTGAAGAGTATAAACAGAGAGAACCCCGCTTAAATTCCTATTCCTACACAAAACACAATCTCCTGCTGCAGTTAACAAATAAGATTTATTATATAAAACCACGAAGTCCTACTTCACCATTGCGTACAACCCTGTCCCTTGTAGTTTTTAATACGCTTGAATTTTCCTAAGAATTTCCATGTCATGCACCTCCGAATGGTCTTAAAATTAAGCACAGAACTATCTTGGAGTTCTCCTCTAAATGCTACCGAAACTTCAATCGGAATTATCCTTAAATTGATAGGGGGGCCATTGGATTAAAAAAATAATTCCCGGTTTTCCGGGGAGTCCAACATATTATTTCTACAACCCTTACACCACAGACAAACAGACGTAACTCTTTGTAAAAGTTTTTCTTGAAAACATAGTATCTCAAAACATAGGACCTCAGTAACGACATCTATCGGGCTTCTCGTGGAAAACAAGCTTGCTCGCTGACTCGTTAACAATATTGCATAAACGTTCTATAGAATGTATAGAAACGTCAAAGTGATCCGATGCCAGCGCTGCGGCGAGTAGTTCGCGGAACTGATAATATTCAAATCAACCGTTAAATTCGTGAACGAAGATACACAATGAAGAGTTACGTCTGTTTGTCTGTGCTTACACTATCTCTAATGATCAATTACAAATGAAAATCACTTTAATGTCAATCAATTATCGAAGAGGTCCACGGAAATATCGATAATAATTCCGAAGGAATCTACTTCTGAAAATAGATCACATAATATCTTTGCAGAATTTCTAGTTTGCTAGTTTGAAGAGAAGAGAGTCCTTAAGAATGTTTTGGGAATTCCAATTGAACGCTGGAAGTCGTTTCTGCACTTTTTTTGCCACCCAGAGCGCTAGTGTTGCTACGCTAGCTCCACCTGTTGGAATAAAATTTAAACTCAGTTCGAACATGTTTGCAACAGATGTCGCTAGATGCACTATTGTTCATGACCGTATTATGGTCTATCACACTATTTCATTGCTAATGCATACTGATTTAAAATGATGACTACCAAGGATACAGCGCCATGTCTTAGAAAAAATTGTATTTCAATCAGTTAATTAAAAAGGAGAATTCACAGGAAATTTTGAGCATACAGTCAAGATTCCTATAGTACGGTTAATAGGGAACCGGAATTAACGAATACACGTAGCATATGGGATTAGAGCTATGTAATTGGGGACAAACGCTTATTGTAGGGTAATTTGAAGAGATAACTAGCTGGTGTCTTCTAAAAAGTTATTAAACAGAAAATTTGCCACCTTTTGGGAACATTTAGCATCCGGAGAGTCACGAATCTGATCCTCCGGAAGACTCGGAAAATCCGTAAATGTGGTCAATTCATGAAACTGATCCTAGAGCTCCGCGGTTTTTTTTTTCGAAACCACTCATAGACGTCTTATCAGAATAAATTTGGAGTTGTGACCTGAATATGGACCCAGAGGACCACGGGATGGTCCACCGGAAGATCCGGAACATTCGTAAAAGTA